CTGGAGGCGCGCCCCCTCTGCCGCCCGGGCGACCGGGCCCCCCCCCCATCCCACCCGGCCCAGCGGGGGGGGACGACCACAGCACACCCCGTCTCCCCCAGAGAAACAGCTCGCTCAACAGGTACCGGCCAAAAACCGGTTTCTGAGAGCTGAACCCTGCCGTTCAGACCCCAGAAACGCGTCGTCTGACTTCAAGATAAAATCATTTAAACTTGGAGTTAAATTTAGCTCTAATTTCTGTGTAAAACCAACCTTAAATTAATTGTGTTGATTTAAACTACTCTATTGTTTAAGAGAATCTACAGTTAATCTCTTGGCCTTCAGTTAAAATGACCTTTATGAAAGGGAGGAATGGATTAACACAGTGTCTCTCCACCAGCCATGCTCCAGCCCCCCCACCTGGCCGGACAGGACCGCTTCCTCCTCCACCGAATGAGAGACCTCCATCTTTTGAAAGGAGCCAACCATCAGGACGCACAGGTGGGGAGATTAGAATGAGCGAGGGCTGAGACGAGAAATGTCAAAGACGACTTTGCGGTTCGTATGAGGATCCAAAGATACGGTTCTCAAACAGTTTTTTATTTCTGCCTCTGAAGGCCCTCTTCCTCCACCACCCCCTTCAAACCGGAACGTGGGTGGGGGCAGCATGAGGTGTTCGCCTGCAGCCTCCCCCGTTGGTCGGCCAGGCCCGGAGCCCCCGCGCGGCGGGCCAGGAGGTAGACCTCCACCCCCCCCGGACAGACCGGGAACAGGGGGGGGGTTCCCCCCTCCACCCCCACCCATGGGGAACGGCTTCCAAAACTCCCATCACAATCAAGGTGAGGGGGCTCTACAAGTCCTGCATAAGAAAATGATCACTTTTCTGCTCCTCAACAGAAATATTTTACTCTTGTAAAGAGATTAAAAAAAGCTGTCATCTAAATGTCTTTCCTTGAACAGATGAGTGGGAGTCCCGGTTCACTTTTCACCCAGTGTCGGACCTTCCTCCACCTGAGCCCTTCGTCCCCTTCCAGAAGTCCTACCCCAGCAAGGCCTCCAAGACAGACGGCAAGGGTGAGTCACTGGTACCCACACAGAACCGACATAGAGCTCAGAACATGGAGATATCAAGAAAACTCATTTGTGGCCTCATGTTGATGTAGGGGGTCCACAAATGATTTAGATCCCCTTAATGACCCCTGCTGTGATCATCTGTAAAGCTCCCAATGCTGCAGGTGAAGGTGGCAGCCATTTTAACTCTTTTGCCACTCGTGGCTCAAAAAAAACACAACAGCTAAATTCTGGCTCAAGCTGACTCTGACCTTTTTCTCATTGTTAGAAAATGTTCCATTTGGGTTACGACAAAAGTATAATAAAAGATTTAAAAGTTATGAAAGCACTAACTCCAGTGTTCTGTTTTGCAGGTCCTGGTAAAAAGGAAAGAGGGGCTCCTCCCCTTCCTCCAATTCCCAGGTGAAGAAAACATGGCCGCCATTACAACATTGCAACTACCCCCTGCTAGTCTACTTTTTTATTTTTTCTCTTTGCTACGCTTATTCCGCTTCGACCAGCACGTGGCTCATATTCGGACTTTAACACAGAAAATGGACCCGACCAGATGCCAGAATGGACTCCCAATTCTGAGTTCACATCGAGTGCGTCTGTAGCAGGATACAGGCTCCGCTTACACACCAAAGTTTGTTCATAAAAGCTTTTTCAGGGGTATTTTGCACACCGTGCTGTGTGCGATTTCCAGAGCCTGTGACCAGGTGGAATGTGTCAAACTCTGTTTCTATAATGCATCATAGCTTTATTCCAGTATCTTCACGTCTTCGCTAACACAGATCCTTGGCACAACAAGCTTGCAAGATGTCATATTTGATCTGCCGGTTTCATAAATTCTGACTTGACAAATGCAACAGGTAGCACTTGGGACTTTCACAGATAGCACAAACATGGGTTAAAACTAACTCTACACTTGAGTGATGTGAGAGAGCGGGCCTTATCATGCAGAAGCTATAAACTAAGTTGTTTGTGCCTTATCTCCTCTGACTGTACCTGAGCTTATTTCGGAGAGGATAGGAGAGTTGCCTATTGTGACTCCCTCTCCTGGATCAGGTACATTTAGAGTCATAGAGACACCTGGGATGATAACCCATTTTAATGGCCACAACCTGCAGCTTGTGCTGCTCGGAAGATCAGGGAAATGAGGGTGTTTGAAGCCAGATGTGCCTTCACAGTCTGAATGTAGATGTTCCTCTGTGTGATTATGTGGAATCCACTGAACGGTACGCTTTATTAGTCGGTTCCATGCGAGGAGAGCATGCTTGCAGTACTAATGATTCAGACGCTTTAAAGGAGATTGTCGGGGGGTCACGGCAGCGTTGATGAACAATTGAGCTGACTCTTGTTTATCTGTCAAAGCACTCTTGACGTACAATGAAGGGCCTGTGTACGTATGTGTATGATTTTACTCAGCTGATGTTGAAGGATGGTAATATTTTAAGTTATGTTTTGAAACTGTGCAGTATTACGTTCTTGCTTTAGACAGCAGTGCTTTGAATGGTCTTTTGTGTTTGTCAGGTGTTACTGCCCTGTGTGTGTGTGAGTGTGTGTGTGTGTGTGTGTGTGTGTGTGTGAGTGTGCGAAATGTTTTCTTTAAGACAATCGTACAGAAGAAAAAGACATACGTCAGAAAATAAAAATGCTTTAAGATGCTTTATGTTAAAATGCCTTGGGTTGAAATAGGCTGCTTATATTTGACTATTTTATTATTCCTGTTAAATCACGTTTGATGATGGGCAGCAACACAATGAGTTGTAGTCTCCAGAACCAAATGAAGTGACTTTTTTTGTATTATCAGATAAAGCATATGAATCATTTACATATTTGTGCAATAAAGTGGGCAATAAATTGATACAGTGTTGTGCTATCCTGTTCCAAGTGTCCGTTTCTGGCCTTTTGTTTGATGTAAATATTCATTTAATCAACTTTGGGAGAGCAAAATGCTCATATGTCCACCAGGAAATAAGTCACACACATTTCATTGTCTTTGTGTCCCATTTATTGCTGTGTCCTCATGTTTCATAAAAACAGCTCAGTGGTCCCTTTTGAATCTTTTAAGGTCAGCTGCTGTTCATACAGTTGTTTTTGTAGATTAGCTCAGTGGAAGCTTTGACAAACCCTGGTGATGTTCCTACTCTCATTAGGTTTTTCTGCAACATATTTTTAAACATTTTTATCCTAAACATTTTTTTGTCAACAATATGCTGTTTTCATGGAATCTTGATTAGTTTCTCGATTCTTGATTAGTTGTAGGTTCACATCCTGCTCACAGGACTCTCATCGTCCGGTCAATTTGTAGTGGAAACAAGCATGTCCCGGAAACAGGCTTATCTTTCTAAGTTCAGCCGCATCACAGATTTGAGACGCTTCAGGGGTAATTAGCATTTGCGTGCCAATTAGAATAAATTTCTCTTGACAGTGAAGATACGCTTAATTTGTCCAATCACAGACGCCAATAAACAAGTTAGTCGCCTCCTATTGGCTGGTTTGCCCGTCAGTCATTTTTCAGGGCGTGTCCACTCCTCGCAGCTGTCGGGACCATCACTCAGCCCAGAAGGATAAACAAGAGAAGAAAAAAGAAACGTGAAGGAGACGGAATCGGCAGAGATGTTATTTTGGGTGGTAATGGAGGCCTAAGGCTTGCAGGTAGGAAATTTGACTGTTAGACGGGTGTTTTGAGATAATACAGTCATGTCATTTGTGTGGGGTGCAACATACCGCGCCCGTTATTTGTTTTTAGCATACCGCTATGCTAGCGTTAACGACCAGCTGACCACGGAAATGGGTCTGACACTGAACCCGGGCTAGTATAAAAGCAGTTTTATATGTCGTGGCATTAGTTTAGGCTTGGAAGAGTGTCACTCATTGTCAACATTTCCTGTCACTTGACTACACAGCCTGCCCCGACCGTGCTAATAGAGCTAATGCTAATACAGATGCGTGACTAGAGGACAGAGGCACCCTGCGTTAAGCACTACCCTCCACTTGGAGTTTTCTTTCGGAACCTCACCCAAAGGTAGAGATATCATCATAGTTTACACGTGAGTAGCTTATTTTGATTGTTTATATATGTATATATGTATGTATATATGTTTCTGTTTTAACTTGTTATCTGACCATGTACGTGACTTATTGCAGAGTGCTGTTTCCCCATCACCTGACCCCTTCCGGTCCCATCCCATCGTCACCATGGAGACCGCCACTAACTATGTGTTGATCCATGGGAAGAACATCTCCCACAACACGGCGGCGGGCTCTGCGGCGGGGCCCCATATGTCCATTGATAAGCTGTTCCCGGCTCTCCTGGAGTGCTTCGGCATCATACTGTGTGGTTACATAGCCGGCAGGTAAGTGTGTGAGTGTGTGTCTGTGTGTGTGCGTGCGTGCCAGAGTCGTTTTTCAGCATGTGGTTCGACTGAAATGGCTGCTTTCCTCCTCCTCTTCCTCTTCACAGGGCTGATATGATCACTGAGAGCCAGGCAAAGGGTTTGGGGAGCTTTGTGTCAAAGTTTGCTCTTCCGGCTCTGCTCTTTAAAAACATGGTGCTGTTGGACTTTGGGGACGTCATATGGGCGTTTCTCTGGAGCGTCCTGGTGACAAAGGTTTGTGGCTTTGTTGTCACTCCCTCACAAATATACCTTTTGCATCTTGATTTTCAGTACGGCTGAACACGGAAGTAGAACGTGTGTTTGACTCGCTGTGACCTCGTCTCGTTTTTTAGGTGGCTGTGTTTGTGCTTGTTTGTGTGTTGACACTGATAGTAGCCAGTCCAGAGGGCCGATATGGCAAAGCTGGTCTGTATGCCATCTTTGCTACTCAGAGTAATGACTTTGCCTTGGGATATCCAATAGGTAAGCATGGATAGATAGAACACAGTGTTTTTAAGTCATTCGCTAAGACTTTTCTTTTCTAATCTTTTGGTGTTTCTCTGTCTCCGCTCCTTAGTTGATGCTTTGTATCGAAGCACATATCCAGAATACCTCCAGTACATATACCTAGTTGCCCCTGTCTCCCTCATGCTTCTCAATCCTATCGGCTTTGCTCTTTGCGAGGTGCAGAGGTGGAAGCAGACCAGCCTCCCACAGCGAAGTAGGCTTGGCATCCTGGGAGTTGTAGTCTTACAGGTATCCGAACACGTCCATGACACGTCTCATCAACGGCGACTATTTATAGATTGAAATTTCGAGGATTTGTCTTTTCCAGGTGTTGAAGAACCCCATAGTGTTCATGGTGATCGTGGGAATCGCCTCCCACTTTGTCCTGGGCCAGCGGATCCCTGCCGTCCTGTCGGAGTTCATAGATGGACTGGCTAACTCTTTCGGGGGGGCAGCATTGTTCTATCTGGGCCTCACTATGGTGAGCTGGAACCCCATCATGACCAAGAGCTCATGAATTAAAGGGTGACACCAGCATTAAGAGCAAATGTCTGTTTTTGTGTGGCAGGTGGGCCAGCTTAGAAAACTAACCAGAGACACTGGAGTTGCCCTCATCCTCCTAATCACAGCCAAACTGTAAGTGGGACTTGGAGAACTGAGCATGATCAGCTGTGATTTAAATATTTAGCCCGCTTCAGCACTTTTGTCTTCTTCTTTGAAATATTTATTAAAATGGAATTAACAACTCTGTCTTTACATGGTCACAGAGTATTCATATCTTTCCATACACTACAAAATTTAGTTTTTTTTTGGATCTTAGAGCATTTAAAGACAAACCTATTAGCTTTCTAAACATTTAGATGTTTTTGAAATAGCCTCTATTTCTCTATTTCTCTATTCCTCTATCATCACATGTGATTTGAATCTGCTCTGTTTCCAGCCTGGTGATGCCGCTGGTCTGCAAAGACATGGTGGACATCTTGGACGTTGGAGTGAACAGCACGAGTGCCAACCACACCAGCTTGTCAAATTTTGCCTTTCTTTATGGAGTCTTCCCGACTGCGCCCAGCGTGGCCATCTATGCTGGACATTATAACATGGAGTTAGAGGTGGTAAGTCCTGCAGATGACGAGAAACTGGTGTTACAGCATTTACTTCCTGTTGATACAGCAGCTACTCTTTTTAAAACATTATTTAAATGTAAAATGCACTCATTAGGAATCGGAGAGAATAGATGACCTTATTCATTTTAAGGCCTTTTCTATCTATTGGATGACAATGCTTTTCTTGTGACTTTCTCACATGACACCCACACAGCTATGAAACAGAAAATCTGAATTTGCTGGTGTTTATCAATTATTCAACTTAATTGGCAATACTGTCACACCCTCTGACACAGCTCTGTCACATGTATCTCCTTAAACTACTAATGTTTTTCTTAAAAAAAAAAAAATAGGATCAACTACTTCCTTTTTTCTTTTCCGATAACCTAATATTGAATTAATGAATTTGGCTTAAATGTAGTCAGAATTACTCAGAAAAGGTAGAAATAATGTGTTTGCTTAAATGGCTTTATTTCATACTTGTCTCTCTTTAGGTGACGTCAGGGATGGTGATCAGTACATTTCTGTCTGCCCCGATCATGTATGTGTCGGCCTGGTTGTTGACGATCCCTTTGATGGATCCCACCCCCCTCGTGACAGAGCTTGAAAATGTTAGCTTCAACATCAGCATTGTCAGCCTCATTGCTCTGGTAAGTTGGTCTAAGATGGAGGAGTGTTGGAATTAGTAGAAAAGAATTAAAGATTAATTTAAGAATAAGAGTAAGAACCACTCACCATAAACCAGGTGTCCTTTAATGTAAGTACATTTAAGTACATGAATGTGAGAGAGAACGGATGAATGGAATCAGTAAAAATCAGGACTAACAAATGGTCGTAAACGAAGGAAAGCATAATCCCAGCTCCAGTCTGAGCTGGCTCTGCTGTCCCCCCTCAGGTGTGGACCATAGCAGTGATGCTGCTCAGCAGGAAGTTCACCAGACTTCCTCACCTCTTCGTGCTGAATCTTTTCCTGGCTCAGGTCAGTCCTTCTTTGTGAAACGGTTTCTGAATTCTATCTATTCCGTTCTTTGTGTCTGTGTTGATTGAACCATAACCGTCCGTACATCACTCCATAGTTCCTGGTGTGCGTCAGCATGATCCTGTGGAACTTCTTGGTGAAACAGGAGGAGAACCTCATCGGCAAAATTCTCACCTTCACTCTGTTGTACGGTTCTCTGTACAGCACTTACATTTGGTCAGGTAAATGTCCACGCTTCTGAGGAAAAAGCTTTAGCCATACACGGCCATTAAGCACCAGCATCACGTGTTTTTCCTTTTTTCAGGTTTGATACCGCTCTGCCTGGCTCTCACAAACAGAGATGATCTGCTCAGACTCCGACCAGGGGTTTTCATGGCTTTGGGTTGGGGGTACGTCTTTGCTGGCACACACGTCCACGGCCATATAGACGATTAAGAGGAATGTTATTCTGTCTGTTAACTGAACAGACCTTTGTTTGGTCTGCTCATTTAGGGTTCCCTTCCTGGTGGTTGGATGTCTTCTGATAGCAGGAGAGAGGACGGACACCATAGACTCGGCTTTCTTCTACGGCAGAGCTCAGGTTGGGTAACTCCACATCACACAACATGTCCGGCTCCCCTGCCACTGAGCAGATTTAACTCCAGTTCCTTCTCCCCTAATCCAGATAATCAGCTCGGCAGTGGTTCTTGCGGTGAGCCTTGCTCTCGGTTCCGTTTCCCTAATGGGTCTCAGCCAGGGGGAGAGGGAACAGGGGGGCTACCAGGCCCTGAGCAGATCGACTGTAACGGGCATCACAGATGAGCCGAGGGCCCCCGGTGACCCCGAGGATCAGCAGCAGCAGCAGCAAACCCAGCTGGCAGATTCTCCTGCTCTCAGTGTAGACTCAGGTAGTCCTGCCCCACATTCCTGATGTTGATTCCAATAAGTGGAAAGTAAACTGTGACCCAGTTTATTAGTGAGCAGGTAATCCAGCAGGAATATTAAACTATTTTCTTTTGTGTTCTCGGCAGACCCACATGGTTTCCCTCCTCTCCAGACTATGCCAGACATGATAGCCAGCACACAGAGGGAGCACACGAATGGCACCGGTAATCAGATTCATTACACACATTTACCATAAAACCACATTAGTATAAGAATGCATGAGAATAATATTGATGGTGGTGCTTTTTGATTCGTGACGCTGCGGTTCCTCTCCAGGCCACAGTGGGGCGCTGTTTGACAGGCAGCAGCCAGGCTCCTCCAGCTCGGAGCAGCCCCTGAACTTGCCTCCTCCTGGGCCTCAACCCGCCGACGACAAGCAGACCGTGAGGCACGTCCTGCTCAGTCTGCTGCTCATCGTCAGCCTGCTCGCGGTAAGCAGGGCGGAGGTTTCAGGGGACGGGACATTATTCAGCCGGTCCACAGAGCTCACTCTGTACACATTTTCATTTGAAAAAAGATAATTATTATTATTAGAAAGTATTAAACCTACTTTGGAAGCCACATGCTCCCGGTTCAGGGTTTCACTGGGCTGCTGTCCGCTCTGTTTCTGTGTGCAGAACCTGTCCAGCTGCCTGTGGTGGCTGTTCAACAAAGACCCAGGAAGACTTTACCTTGAACTGCAGTTTTTTTGCGCCGTGGCAAACTACGGACAGGTGCCACCTCCTTAAATTGTAAAAAAAATAAACCTTCCATTTCTCCGTCCGTCCTTTAAAACAGACTTTCTTGCTTTTCGTCCCAGGGATTTCTGTCCTTTGGAATTTACGGTCTGGACAGACACCTCATCATCCTGCCATTCAAGAAGAGGTAAACTGAGACTTCAGGGCTCTCCCAGCCTGGAGTTTGAACTAATCTGGATTTAAATCCTCATCCCACGCTGTGTCTTTGTGTGTGGTAGGATACTGGGCCTGTGGCAGGGCAGAGACGCTGCAGATCTGAGTCCATCAGGCGTTCCCGAGGAGGTCAGACTCACCTGCACCCAGTTTGTTCGCTACCACAAAGACCAGTGTGTGCAGGACCTAATCCACACACGCAGGTATGAGCCACAAGCCTTCAATTCCCCCTCCGCCCTGCACGATCACTTCTTACGCTGTATACTTCAACAATACGGCCTCCATCTTTTTAGGGCACGTTTAAGTTTAGCCACAGGATATTTTCAATGGTTTTTACGTGTAGAGGCTGAATATGGTTTCTAGCCACGTCTCAGGAAACACTCACACTGGTTTTCTGAGTCTTGGGAGCTTTTCTTTGCTTCTATTCTAACACATCTCGTTTGATTCTTGCTGTTTTTTTCTCTGAGAAATTAATCCTTTCTCTGCCTTCTCTTTCCTTTACCCGCCTCTCTTTGCATGGCCGTTTCCCCCCTTCCCTCCTCTCCATCTCACCGTAGCGGCTCGGGGGAGAGTGTGAACGCTCCGACTGGTGAATCCTTCCTCTGATTTGCGCAGGTTTAGAGGGGGGCAAGAGGAAAGTGGAGGAAAGGGGCACTTTCCGGCCCATCCCTATTATCTTCCCACAAACCCGGATCCTCAGGAGCAGCCAGACCAGGAGTCACAGAGTCTGCCCCAGAATCACCACCCGGCCCAGTCCAGCGCGCACCCCCACCCTAAAGGGGCCGCCGCTCCTCCCCCGGCTCCATCCCCCCCCCCGCCTCCCCCTAGAAAGCCTGTTTCCGGGCAGCGAGCTGGTGGACTGGCTGCTGGAGCGCGGCCTGTGCGCCGGACGGTCCGAGGCCCTGTGCTACGGCCTCCGTCTCCAGCAGGGGGGGGTCCTCCAGCACGCCTTTGGCCAGCAAGACTTCCAGGACAACCCCGCCCGGCTGTACTGCTTCACACAGGGGGACGCCTGCTCCCAGGACACCTGAGAAGAGCCACCTCTGTGGGCGTGAAGGCAGAAGTGGATTCTGGTGCAGAAACTGGGGGTCCACACATTCTGAGGAGATCCTATTTTTCTCCCCCAAAAGAATCATCATAAAGTTGATGCAAAGTGGCTTTTTTTTTCACTCCAACGACCAAGTTTTTTAAACCACCGAGAGACTGAACCAATGTGGGGAGAAGGGGAAAAAAAAGAGGTATTGTGGAGAAAAACCAGCCTGCTGGTACCTGAACTCCAGACCAAAGGTCTGCGTCACAGTCCACAAAGGAAAGCTCGTCTGTACATAGCCCAGCGGCCCCGTCCGGATGTTTTGGGAGGTGTTTGTGTTCCGGTGGTGAGAGGTGGAGCGGAGCAGGGAGCCGGCAGAGTCGCTCCCACCTGCAGCATCAGCTCCGACTCTGCTCCCCACAGGTTTGATATTATGCAACTCTCCGGACGTCTCCGTTAAAATGAAGGAGTTTACGGCCTCATCTTGTTCTTGTGCCACCTCCGTCTGATCGATGCAGTTTTTTTTTTATCAATCAAATGGAATCATCAAAGCCATTTGTAAATGAGCCAAAAAAAGAAAAAAATACAATGCCTTTCGAACCCAGAGCTCACTTAGTAAGAAAAGCTAAACTCATATCGCTTCTTTTCTACTGAGCAGAACATCAGGCTGATTAAACATGCAGTTACTGTGACTTATCACATCCACTTTTCTTTTCTTTTTTTTAAAAAGCGTTTTGAGGCCAAATTACAGCTCTGGTCGTCTGTTTAGTTTATTAATTTTTTTGTCATTCTGAATTTCCACAAAACTGTTTACAAGGTTGCTGCTGATTTCAAAGCCTCTACAATGTTTACAGTGGGTCAGTGAGGCAGCAGAAAGTTCCGACTGGACGCTGATATATGCACATACAGTTAACCAGAGGAGGGACGCAGACACTAATGTTACACTGATGGAGACTGTAAAAGCTTCAGTCTGCCATTTACTGGGCAGATTCCCTCACGGCTTATGCAGACTTTCTTTGTTCTCTAAGCAAAATGAATTTAAAGGTTAGCCTCTGACCTCCTGAAGAGGCCTCCCGCAGATTTTCAGGTATGTGTAAAAAATATTTCCATCTTATTGTCGTCTTCTAAAGAGTTTTTCAACATGATGCAAATTAAATTCTCGTGGTTTTTTTTGTATTTTTTCTTTTTAAAAGAGTGCCTCCCTCTGCCAATGTGAAGGTGTGTGTGAGTCTGTGTGCATGAACAAATGTGTCTGAGTTTATTTTTGTGTTACACTGGATTTTTTCTTGTCGTCGATAACGTGTTGCTGTAAGTCAGCGAGGGTTGATGACCGATGATTTAAAAAAAAAAAAAAAAAGCACAAATAAAATATCCCTTGCATCTAAAATTCTGCTTTTTTCCTCCCTCACAAACAGACACAGACACAGTTTGTAAAACTACCCCAGTAAAGGAAAAATAATCAATACTGGTTTTATTACAACACAAAAAAAAAAATCAAGAGCAATATGATGTATTTAGAAAATTCTAAAAAAAAAAAAAGTTTTAATATTGTGTCTTTTTTAAATCAAATGAGAGAACAAAAATCATCCACTTCTCCTCAAAACTGGATGAAACATAACTCTTATATGAAATGTCCTGTACTCGTATGACCCCCTGACCCTTGACCTTTCAAACTGTTTGTGACTAAATTACATAGAAACAGAAATTTGGCACTTGGGTTTCTCTTACATTCACAAAACAAGTAAAACAATCTCACAGTTCGTGTTGTGAAAGGTCGACATCATTCGGGACTGAACTGTTTGACAGATTTTCAGTTAAGTTGCAGAAAGAAAAAAACTACATAAAAACAGAAACAAAGAATCAGGTACACTTTAGGTTTTAGGAAAGCTTTGCTGCATCGCATTAAATAAAAAAGCTACAATTTAAGACTATTCTCTAAAGACTTAAAGTTATAAGCTTTGTATTAACAGGAGCTCAGCATGTGACCCTCTCAAGACTGAATAAAGGAGGGACTTCATCCAAACTGGATGGATGTGTCAATCCAGAACCTGAAGTCACCAGTTTGACCTGCTCTGATAGGAGAATAAAGATTAAATCTTTGACTTTAAGAATATGAGCTTTGATTTTAGCCCAGGTGAGTGACGGGCCGTCCCTTATGAGAGAGTCACATCTGTAAAACTTTAAGACGTGTCAGTGCTTAAGAGTCTGTGATTTTAAAAGTTTTCTGCCACTAGTTTAAATAAAATACTGTATCCGCTGTCTTCTGTTAAAAAAAAACATCTAAATCTGATTAAGTTATTCCATAGCTGAGGATACCAGACAAAGTGGATTATAAATCTAAGTTATGATGTTCACTAATGGCCAAAAATAAGAGTGGAAAAAGGAAAAAGTGTGAGTTCTGTCCATGAAAACATAAATCTAGAGAAAAGAATACAAATGTGCATATTCTGCTTTTTAAGTATTTAAAGCCAGGCCTTATTTCCACTGTGTGGCTTTGATAAGTACAAAGAAATTCACTCAAATTAAGACTTGCATGTAAAAGTAACAGTGTTTGGAAGGCACCTCACGACTTATTAAGATCAAATCTAATTGCTTAGCACAGCATTAGCAGCAGCACCCTGAACACACATTTAAATCACAGTGGCAGTCAGTCAACTACAGTTTCTGTGAAGAATTAAATGGAAATATCTTTCATTGAGAACATTCAAAAACAGAAAATACCGTAGCATTACTTCTAAATGATATCGAAACTCAACAAGTAACAGCTATGTTTTTTAAGTTTTAGGTTAGCTTTTCTGTCAGACAGTAAAAAAACAACCCCAAAAAAAGATTTCTTTACATGAATACATGAGAGAGACCTCAGTTTGTTCAGTTTCTTGTCAAAGAAACAGTTTTCTGAGACATTTTCACCATGTGAAAAAAAAAAGCCTGCGGATAAACTGACCATAAGATCAAACGATCGGCTGTGGCCGGCCTTCAGAAACAGCCCCGGCAGATGGACAGGTCTCTCCTCAGTGGACGCTTAAGGGGACATCTCAGTCCATCTCAGCCTGCTAAATGTGTGCAGTGTGACATTTGAAAGAAACTCCGCCTAAAAAACCTTCTGTAACGTGATCAGAGGGAAAGTCCAGAACGGATCATCCCCCGGAGAACCAGGAGCCTTTCCCCTGACCTCGCACCAAAAAGGTTGACCAGTGGCTTTCCTTTCCAACTCAGTTCTTTAGCCTGGAGCCCCTATCAGGTCCTTCCTCACCATACCACCACCACCACCATCGTCATCATCATCGTCTCTTCCGGTCCTGGCTGGTGCCGTTGCTGTCCGCGTCGTCCATCTTGAGGTGCGTTTGACCGTAGCGTTTGATCATGGCTCCGGGCAAGAGGGCCACCAGGGCGATGGCCAGCAGCTGGGCCACCGTCCCCCAGGTGAAGATGTCGTCCAGGGAGGAGATCTGGGAGAGGATGGCCCCCGTGCGCACGCAGATGAAGTTGTAAGGGATCAGACCTGGAAGGGAGAGAGAGAGAGAGAGAGAGAGGCTTTTCAGGGTCAGAGGTCCAGGGTCCGTGTCGGTCAAAAGTGCTCTGTGGTGTTTGGCGCGAGCTCACCGATCAACACGGAGAGGAAGAAAACGGACATGGGGATGTTTAGAACGGGACAGGTGATGTTAAGGAACCAGTTTGGGGTCATGGGAAAGAAACGGAGGAAAAGGAGGAAGAAGAACAAGCTGCTGCGGTTCTCCTCCACCTGAAGGAGGCCAGAAAGGAAAAAAAGGGCATAAACAAGAGAAGTGAGAGAAGCAAAAAAAGGGAAAAGGCGAAAAAATCTAAAGGAAATCAAGAGGAAGAGAAAAGACAGCAGATAAGGGACCGGGTTCCCGTCTGAGACCTGGACAGAGACCCACCTTTTTCTGCAGCAGGGCCACTTTGTCGGGAAAAAACTGGATCACGTGCCGCTTCCCGAAGGCCGAAGACAGCAGGAAGCAGAAGGTGGAGCCGGTGGTGGACAGCAGGCAGGCCAAGACCAGCCCCACCCAGGGCCCGAATATCGCACCAGCTAGCATGTTCTGAGGGGGTTTCAACAAAAACCACAAGTGAAAAAAGCTCATTTGGGCATTTTGGGGGTTTTATTTGGATCATTGAACCTGTTTTGGGGGGGGTATCTCACCAGGAAGGAGGAGCCCGGGATGGCGAAGGACTGCTTGTACAGGTAGGCGCTGCAGAACAGCAGCAGGACGTAGCCGTAATTCTCTCTCTTGTAAAACTTGAGCGTCTCTGCTAGCTCCCGCAGAGACTCCAAGTCCGATGGGAACGTTAGGCTGGGAAGAAAAGAGAAAAACCGGCGTGGGGCTGTGCACATCTCTGAGCTGAGAACCTCTGAGCAACCACAGGTGATTCAAACCTGACAGCAGCGATCGATTTCTGAGACAATTCTGGTCTACTTTGATATGCTACACGACCACCAAAAATGGAGCTCGATCCAGTATGGAGGCTTTCAAAATGGCCGCCAACTTCCGGACATAGCCTAAAGGATTGGCCCTCCTCACCCGTTACTTGCTGGGCTGTTGTGATATTTACTTTTCCTTTTGTTTCTGGAATAAATCCCCTGACTATTGATCCTGTATAGTAGTTATAAATTCATGGGTATAGGTGGTTGAACAGGTGCCTGTAAAGAAAGACCAGTTCCCTCTTTGTCCTTTCATTATGTCACTGGGAACATAATTTTAAAAAAAATAATTTTTAAATAAATTAGGTAAAAATAACACCAATGCTCATCATTTTAGGAGCCAGCGGCTGCATAAAGTTAACTTTATTATTATTTATTATTATCCTCTCTGTTAGATAGGTTTTTATTCCACCTTTGTTTTTCCAGGAGGCGCTCGGGATCGAGGCGGGCCTGGTCAACCATAAAACAGAAAACTACACCACAGACTGATGCAGAAAGAGCCCTAAAGCAGTTTAGCTGTCCGTTTGGTGACTAGAAACTCAATCTACAGCGCAAACTGCAACCAAATGAGTAGAACGGGGGTCACGCGGCCGTTGAAACATCAGCTTTAAGCATCAAAATGTGACAAAAACCTTTATAAGAGGGAACAAACAGAAAGATTATCCCAGCCCGGTGGAGGAGTAACAGGATATATTTGATTGAAGGACAGAAATAGCGTTGCTGCCTGCAGACCGGAGCAGAGGGCAGAAAGCTCCTCACAAAACTCACATGGGCCAAAATCCCCCACACACTCTCCCCCCACCCTCCCTCCCACCCGGTGAAACTCAAGATGCGGGCTTCCTGTGCCACCTGCTTCGAGGCTCAGCACTCCTGGTTCCTACTGGTCAGCGTGCGAGCATTCAGGCCGGTCAGTGGCCGGCCGGCCGGTGATGCCTGAGCTCCCTGGACACGTGAAACTAGACGGACGTATGTACAGTATTCCGGGGGAGTGCTGTCACCGGGGGGCTCTTTTTCATTTTTGCTTACACCAGAAACACATAACACAGACGCACACTCAGAGGAATTCACGCTCTGGTCTGGATTAAGTGATGCTGACCACTGACTTGTGTCATTTTTAATGTCATCTGCCACAATTGTTAGAATTAAGTTTATTTATCGACTGTTAGATTTAAGATCGACCTGTTTTTTCTGCCAGCTGAAGGATGATTAAACCTACCCATAATTGTTTTTCTGCAGACTGTCCAGCAACACACAGAAACACACACACAACCCTGGACACGGGGCAGTCTGATTCCTGTGCCTGCTCACATGTTTAAGTGACTTCAAATACGCAACAGCATTACACGAGTGATATCAGTTTACCGGGAGCAGACACACACACACACACACACACACACACACACACACACACACACACACACACACACACACACACACACACACACACACACACACGCGTACACACAGGTGCTGCGCTTGGCATCACAGAGTGTCGAGGTCAGGGTTATTCTATCATCCCAGAGTGACTGGACTTTCTGTCCGCTGCCAGACGCACAAACATACGCACAAACAGACGCACACCATCACACATGGAGGAGTCTGAAGTGTGCTTGAGGAGACTGAAAGGGGGTTTATTGTTCCACAAAGTGTTTTAGATCAAATCTTGAATGAGAACTGAGACAATCTGCTGCCCTTCACATAGAATATTAATTTAAAAAAAAGATTTGATATAATGTAAGTGACAGTAATGGTCATTTGTGTCTGTCCTGCTCATTTGGAAAAAATAGAAAGTCAACATTGGTTGTTTGACCTGGGGGTTTCCCCTCAGACTTCCAGAGGAACACCAGTCCATCACTCTAATTTTCAGAAAAAAGCCTGTTGATCATTTCACATTTTCCTGCCTTTCCTCAACTCATTCATACATGAATGTTAGCTCAATTAAAAAGGAATACTTTGTTTATACTCATTACTGATGCCAGTATTAATTATCAAATAACAAGCTCCATAAATAGTATAAATAGGATGTTTTGCCTGCTGGTAGATGTCCACATCTGGTCAGCAGAAACCGTGACCATGTTGTATGACCCTTCACATGACTTAGAAATAAAATTGGAGCTAAATTCAGTACACTGCGCATGTGGAATTGGTTCTATTTGTGTGAATACGTCCCCGTATAAAGCCGGGAGGCCGTATCTGGTCCCTACCTGAACTCCTGGGCCTCTCCGGGCTCCCCATCGGGGCCCGGGCCGCTGGGTTTGGGTCCCGGGGGAAGGTGCGTGGACAGCAGGTAGAGGTAGACGGTGGCCGCCGCCACGATGGCCAGCAGGCCCGCCACGGAGCGCATGTTGCTCCCCGGAGAGACTCCCCGTTCACCGGCAGCTTTCGCCGAAAACTCGGGGCTAAATTTAAGTAGAGGGGGGGGGGGGGGGGGGGGGGGGGGGGGGGGGGGATGACGCTCCGCGAGGAGTTCTGCAGACGGATCATGTGGCAGCAAAGGGGGGGAATAACAACTTTATTCAGGTGGATGGACAAGTCGCCTCCGGTGGCCGCAGAAAGGAAAGTCCCGGGGTCTCATTCCGCCTCACGCTCGGGTTTTTTCCCTCAATCTGACACTTGGAGCGTCTTTGCCAACAGGTGGAACACAAAAAGAGCCCCTCGGAGCCCCGTGGAGCGCGTGGAGACCCGTGGAGAGCCGGGTGTTTTCGTGCGTAATTACGCGTAATGACGCGCGGTGGCCACTAGAGGGCGGCAGGCCACAGCCCGTGCAGGTCAGCTGATTCCGTGGCTGTATTTATAGGTCAGGATTTTCATCACTCTGCATTATGATCTAAACATTGTGCCAGTGACATAATAAGAGATATAAATAACCAAAAGGTAGTTCTAGGTAGGAGGAGACGCAGCTCTGCTTTATAGGACACACAGGCTTTGTTTGGAGGAGTTATCGCTCACTTTATTTTTCATTGAACACCTTATTCTTACTTTTTGTCATTTTAGCTGTCTTGATTTTAATGGTTTTCTTTGATGACTGATGTCAGGAGTATTCCACGTGTTGGCCTGACATTAAAAACCAGTGGACAGAAACAGACACAGGATTCATTATATCAGCAAAACTGTCATCGCTCATTATTTTCTGCTAAATCTGCTGGCCGTGGGTTTCAAGGAAATGAACTGTAACCTTCTGTACAGTTCTCCAATATCAGTACGGCCACGCAGCACGTTGAGGGAAAAATAATTCAAATAAATGCAGAATGAATTTCTTTTTTCTGCTTTTTCCAAGTTCTGCCATCTGTCCTGTTTTGAAGATACAAAGGTCAGGGTCAAGGCTCCATAGATAAGAAAATAAGAGGATTGAACTGATTTGCTTTTATGTCTGCCTATTAATTCCAAGCTTAAAAAACACATATTGTGGTTGTGGATGCGAAAAGCTTTGTGCCAGATTTATAGTACTATGCAGTCTATTCTAATAAGTGATTTCCAGGATAGACTAATGTTTTACCACCTTGACGTTCATGCAAAAATAATTATAATTTTTTTTTTTTTATTGGTTCAAGGACCAAAATATGCATGGCATGTGTAAAACAATCAGACTAATGAAAGCCCAAAGAGCAGTGGTGTCTTATATTATATTATTTCCTCACATTTTTCACTGAACACTTAATCCTCTCTACCTTTGAAAACGGACCCATTCACACAACAACACAACAAAAACAACACAAAGAAGGCGTTTGAGTGCCTTTTAATGTATTCAACATGCTTTGAGTCACACAGTATGAGACATATTTAAGTTCCACTTCTTGGCCCTCTCTTTGCTTACTCTCACGCTGTCCTGCAATGAAGACGACAGCAGCGAGTCATAAACTGCACCAACACAACATTTGTTCGCAGCACAACCCGCGACACACTCGCAAAAAGGTTTCCGCTGTTTCCCCGAACCCCGAAGTAAACCATAAGTGCTGAGGAGGCCGGGGGCCATCAATGTTTCATCAGGAAAACGACAGGGACTGAATGTATATGCTCAGGTTAGATAAAGATCAAGAGCAGCCAAAAAAATAAATAAAAGGGGGGGAAAAAAGCTATTAATTTTTTAAAATAAAACAAATACGAAATATGAAAAGTATAACAAATCTCACCAGAGGATTTTCTTTCCTGCTCTAGCTTCTATAATCACTGATATGAAATACTCTAAGTTCAATAACATGATTGTTTCTATTAGTGAAAAATGGGCAGCCAAGATCAAGAGCAGCCAAAAAAATCAATAAAAAAGGGGAAAAAAGCTATTTATTTTTAAAATAAAACAAATACAAAATATGAAAAGTATTACAAATCTCACCAGAGGATTTTCTTTCCTGCTCTAGCTTCTATAATCACTGATACAAAATACTCCAAGTTAAATAACATGATTGTTTCTCTTAGTGAAAAATGGGTTAAAAATCTACTTATAATTCACACAAACAGATAAAAAAATCTGAACCTGTCATCCTGTCGGAGGGTCTCTGCTGGGGCCGACCCCCCGTCGCTCTCGGCCCCCCTCAGCAGGCCTGAGAGGGCCACGTCATCCGGGATAACTAAAGGAGTGGAGCACACGGAGCCTCAGAAACAAACCACTCGGTTTTTTTTCGCCCTCACGCTGGCAGAAACGTACCTTCTCCATCCTGGTGGGGGTCGGCGGGGGCCTGGGCTGCCACCATAAGAGCCAGGAGCAGGAGCAGGACTGGGGCTCTCATTTTCTCGGAGCAAAACGGAAGATCTGGGCCTTTTGTTTTGGATCGTATCTCTTATTTTTTTAGTGGCAGCTCACCTCGGAGTGTGAACTTGAAAGCTGCTGTTGTTGCAGGAACGTCGGCGTTCCTTTGACCTCACAGAACCGGACCAACAGGTCTGGGGTCGGGCATGTTCACGTTTAAAGCATCTCCACAATCTGCCCGAGTCACTTTCGGAAAAAGAGGCTGTCCTGAAAACGTGAACCTGACAGGTTATCGGCAATAACAAAGAAGCTGAGCTGTGGGTTGACAGCAAAAAGACGACTTCCAGCCACACAGATCCCTCAATTATGTCAAGTTCTGACAAGTCAATGTGTTTAAAAATGATCACATAAACAACTTAATATAGGAAATGGAAGAAGATGATAAATAAGGAGGGTTAAACTGCCATTTGTCTGCTGAGAAGCACAGTTTATACACTGAGGTGTTAACACAGATTTGAAAAATCTGCTTAATTTTTTCGGGCATCAGTGACTTTCAGTGCAACTAAAACTTTCTTTCCTCCCATAAAAGGGAATTAACAAAGAAGATTGTGCCTCTTAATGATGTCTTTTAAGCTTTCTGAACTTTCAGGGTCACATGGTCAGAGTTTAGAATATCATACAGACCTGGAGGCCACCGGGAGATTTCGGCCTCTGGCTTTAATTGCCAAAGGAGCTCCTGGTGTGCTGGGGGGGGGTGGGGTGGGGGGGCTCCAGCTGTGAGCCCTCTCCAATCAGCCCACGGCTTCATCCTGGCTGTAGGTTGACCCACAGCTCACTCGTTCTTTAGGCATATCCTTGATTTGTGTTTAGATTAGCCTCTAATCCACTGCTTGGGGAAACAGACCAAGATCTTTTCCCAGGCTTCCATCAGGAAGCACCCCAGAATCCGATCCGATCAAACCCCCATTTCTGCTGGGGTTAGTTTTCTGAAATGGAGTCGAAGCTTTGGTTTGATTTGAGTTCAGGTGACACATAAAAAAACCAATGAGAAGTGACATTTCTGTTTTTCTCAGTTCGTAAAAGTGAGAAAATGAAATAAATACTTGAGCAACGGCTAATTGTTTTTACATTTGAGTCTTTTTA